AGGCGAACCTTAATAACATCCCTTATAATAAGGTCCCGGTAGAGTTATACCGCGAGCTCGACCGGCCGCTACTAGAAAATATTAGTAACTTCGTTAACGCTACGGTATAGGCACGAATCTATCGTACGCTAGTGCCGCGCCCGCTATTGCGTAGAAGAACTATACGGGTAAACCCTATTACCTTCGAGGACTTCTTCCTAAAGCACTACGGCTCCGATAGGATATATATTATACGAATTCACTTAGTCGACCTCTCCGAACTTAGCTACCTGCCCCTACTACTACTCGACCCTAAAGCTAATCTAAAGGACCGTAATACCTTACGCTGCATCGCTATCTTATTATAGTAGGGCGCTAGCGTTAATAGCTACGAGATAGGTAACTACGCTAGCTAGGCTACGTTTTTCGGCCTACCGCAGTTCTGTTAGTTCCTAGACGCTAAGCTAGACGTCGCTTAGGACGGCTAGCGATACCGCGTTATTGTCCCCGATCCTTAGTACGCTAAATTGTTCTACGACCTAGTAGAGATCCTAGACTAGGTCCGCAACTACGATATCTACTACGCGATCCGGACGCTCGCTAAGCTCGACCTTACTCTAACGTCTTATAAGGAGAACAGTATACCCTTCGCGGTACCCTATACCTAGACCGCCTTTTAACTTATAAGCGCCTTAGCTAGCTACGGCTTCGCAAAGAACGCCCTTAATAAGCTATACGAGATCCTTACCGGTATACTAGGCTAGAACGAGACCGAACTAAACCTTATATCCGTATACGCATAGATTATACAGATTATAGCACGTACGGTAGATAGACTAGAAGACGAAACGCTAGAGCAGGCCGACGAGCGCCTTAATTAGACTACTAATTGCTATAACTTACTAGGCTAGTTCGAGGAGGAATAGGACGTTACCGTAGAAGCGATAGTCTAGTAGTAGACAGCCGCGATATACGTAAAAGTATAAGAAAAGATTATTATACTCGAGCCCGTCGACCTAGTTACGTTCGATAGTACCGAGTTACTAGAAGCCTACCCTAAGTAGTACGCTGCCTCCGCGCGGTTTTAGACAGAATGCCGTTACTAGAAAGAGCGTACCGTAACTATAGTACTCGGCCCTACTAAGATTGTTAAGATGCTTAAGCCTAACGCTCTGTAGATAGATTATAGGAATAATTAAGGATAGGTATAGAGCGATAAGGACCTCCCTTACTATCTCGGAGAAGCCGCAAATTAGTACTAATATGCCTCGGACGCCGTAGTAGTACGCGACGCTACTACGCTTAACGCCGACACTAGCGCCGTAGAGTTAGCTACTAAGCGCTCTAAGGGAAAGGCGGCCCTACGCCCTAAGGGATTACCTATGCTCTAGCGATATAAGAAGGAGCTTAAGAACCCTAACGACGCGACGTATTAGGATACTATTATAGTAGAAGAGTAGGAACTAAGAAAGGTAATCGTAGGTAAAAAGTAGAACGTAGAAAAGATAGACGTCGATAGCGAGAACGTAGTAGAGAAAGAAGAGTAGGAAGTAGGAAAAGTAAGCGTAGATAAGAAATAGGACGTAGAAAAGAGGGACGTCGATAGCGAGAACGTAACGGAGAAAGAGTAGTAGGAGGGATAGAAAGAGAAGGCTACGGGAAAGGATATCGGTATAAGTAACGCTAGAGCTAAGGACGGCGATAGCCCCGCTCCGCTAGATAATAAAGGTAAGGACGAACTTTAGAGTAAGGCGATAAACGCTATCCTTATCTACGCCGACGCCCTAATAACCGCACGCTAGGTCGTAGACGCCGTTTAGTTAGCCTTCCCGAACCTCTATACTACTAAGAGCGCGGAAGATACTAAGGAATTCCTTAACGCCGATAGTGCCGACGTAGGCTTAGATCCGGACTTAATCCGCAATTCTAACTTAATCCGTAAATAAGACAGTAACGGTATATACGTCTATAAGCTTAGTATCTTTAGCCGTAGAGCCGCACTCTTACGTAATACTAAGCCCGCCTTTAGTCCTATATACGAATACGATATTACCGTATACCTAGTAGAGAACTCTACCGCTAGGGACTCCGCTCGAGATAAGGTAGTACCTCCGTAACAATACCCTACTAAGTAATAGTAAGGCAAGACGCAACCGACTACGCGAGGTAAGGTAAAGTAGCGCGACGGAGGTAAGTAGAACGACGAAGGCGAATAGAATAGCTCCGATAGAGACGATAACGACGACGCTCTACTAAAGCCTCGTCGTAAGCACCTCCCTATAGCTTCCCTCGATATTAGCTAAGAGGTACGCAATGCGGTTACTGCGTTAGGCGTACGTTAGCGCGCGGCAAGCTGCGCCTTTATAGTAGCTATAGCGGCAATTATTAACGCTGTACGTAAGGACGACTTAGCCGTAGACCGCCTTGTTTAGGTTAACGATACGGTACGCTAGACCTATACCGTCTTAAACCCGGTATAAGAACTTAGCTTTACGAGACGTATCTATAAGGAAGACGCTACGTAATAGCGATACGAGAACTTCCTAGCAAAGTATACCGATTCTCTAATAGGCTCTAACCTACGTAGCTCGCTTATAGCAATGTTTTATCGAGTATAGACTATAAATAAGGGCGATATAGAAGAGGGCGCCCTACTGCCTTTTATCGGACAGAACGCTACGCTATAGCTATTACGCGAGGCAACCCCCGACGTAGGCACTAGAGACGCTAGTCTATTACGCCGAGAGGAAGTTCTAGAAGAGATAGCTACGGACTTCGAGATTCTAGAAGAGCCTACGCGCGTTACGACTATCGAGATCCTAACCGCTACGCCGACGAGCGCCTAAATCGCTATACCGATAAGCGTACGTACTCCGATAGATAAGAAGGTCCGTTAAGGCGCTACTAATATAGACAAGGATACCTACCTATAGCGCTCCGAAATACTATACTCCGACGTCGAGCAATAGCTTAAGTCTAGCTACTAGGCCGATACTACGGTACTAATCTATAACGTATTAGGCTTTATTACGATCGATTGTATACCGCCTACGGGTACGCGACTCTTAGACGTTAAACTTAGTAATATATTTTAAATAATCGACGACGCTACAATTACCTTAAAGGAGCTCGGTACCTAGCACACCTATATAGTAGAGGCGTACGGCTTCCTACGTACTAAACGCAAGCTAATCGGCCCTCTATATCTATACTATACGGCAAGCACTAACGGCAAGTACAAGATCGCCTTAATCTATAGCCGGTATATCCTTATAGGTAGTATAGTCTTCCGGCGTAAGGTAGCGTACTAAGTCTAGCTTACCTCTATCGACAACGCCCTAGATTAGGCGATAATCTCGTAGGTCCTAATAGACATCCCCGGCGAGACGGAGCCGCTAATAGCCGCGCGCGACTAGCAGAAGCGATAGAAGAAATACCGCGAGGACCTAGTATACCTACTCTACGGCAAATAGCTAAAGACTATTACGGCCGGTTAGCTAACCTTTAAAGAAGACTAGGTAGAGTAGCCGACGGAGATTAATATCGTCGCGGTACCGGACTACGTCTTAGAAAACATAAAAGCAGCCCTTAATCGTAAGGCAGCCGCCGGCGTTATAGACGCAGCCCTCGACTACTTCCTTCGCACTACGTACCTCTAACTATAAATAGGCCGTATACTACGAAAGGACCGAGACTAGACGCTAAGATCGGCCTATAAGAAGGACACGACGCTACGTAGCCGCTATAGAAGACGCGCGCCCTACTAGCTTAGGTACTAGCACCGTAGGCACTAGTACCGCAACTACCGACGCTAGGTTAGTTACGCCGCAAGTCTAAGTACGTAGCCGTACCCGCAAACAAGCTCGCCTTGCTAGTAAAGCTACCTACTCTATAGGTACTAAGCGAGCCTAAGGCCCTCTCGCCGCTAAAGATTGCTACCTAGCGCCTAGCTACGCGCGCGTCCGCGCGCGCTATTACGGTAGGCCCTTCCGATAGTCTAGCTATACGCGCGTCTACGCGTACGTCTACGTATACCCTAAACTCTCTAGCTACGCGTACGCTAACTAAGCGTAAGGTAGCCGACGGCGATTCGTCTATAAAGAAAAAGATACAGAAACTGTAGAGCTTTACGGAGGGCAAGGTAACTAAAGCTAAGGCTACCGGCTCTAAGACGGAACCGGAATTAATTAACTCTAATAAGTAAGACTATAGCTAGTAGACGCGACATAATACGAATATATACTCGAGACGTATAAGAACGTATAATACGAATACGAGCAGTAAGGAAAACGAGCAAAAGCGGAAGGAGTATATAAGAAGGGGTTTAGCTAATATAGTACGCTAGCCTTCGTTCTATCGGACGGGGGTGCTATTACGGCAGGGACGGTACGCTAGCTAAGCCCGGTATATACTTTCCGTAGAACCGTAGATACTTACCCTAATACTATACTATAGCTAACCTACTAATCGTCCCTCGCGTAATAGTACGCGTATATAAATAAAGCGACCCGAATTTTTTTTCGAGGAAAGAATACGTAATACCTAGACCGAAATTCGAAAATCCGCTATAGTAGCGACCTAGATAAATACTTTATATATACTAATTACTATTTTTTATTCTGTATACGATAGCCCCGGTTTAGGAAAATCGAATGTAATCTAAAAACCGAATACGCTCGGCTATATAGAAGGCTACTCTATACCGCGACGATAAGAATATATACTATTTAGACCGTAATTCGAAAAAGTACTACCGGGCGGGCCTAGATAATTATATTATCTAGGGCCTCTACTATATATTATATATTAATTTATATTCCTCGACGAGTGCTTCCTTAAGAGGGGAAAATCTATACAAACAGCTAAATTGCGACAGAAACGGCCTAGACTAGAGATACTATCGGATCTCTGTTATCTAAACGCTAATTGGCTATACGCCACACCTTAGCCACATACTATGCCACTATGCCACACATACACACACATATACCAAAATACTACACCCTCAAATAATCCTATCTCTAGTCTGGTCTCGAGATAGATGGTGGCCTAAGAATGTGACCCTCAACACTCTCGACATCTTAATTCAGCGATCCGATGACACTTCTCTCTATCTTGATGAAACTCCTCAGGCGAGAAGCATACCTACCGGGCAAGAATGGGATGTGTCGACTAACACACTCGTCGTAGGCAAGAGTACTGGTACTGCTGCAGCTGCAACCGATACGGCACCCAAGATACTTGAACAACTTCATGAAATTCATTCGCCGTCCTGATTCTCTCAAGAGCAGACAAGCTGGGTCTAAACTCTCCATACATACACGATTGCACGAGGCGGGTGCAGAGCTGATCGCACACGACCTGCAGTGGACTGCGTAAAGTGCTATGCTGATCAAGCAAGAAATCTCGTATCTGCGTAGCAGAAAACGGTGCGAGGACTTGAGAGTCTGCCAGTCCAGAGGCTGCCGAGCTGGAGAGGCTGCATAGTGCAGCATTTGCGTGGTGCTTGAAGCTCGAGAGACGCAGTGCCATCGATGGCGAGATAGTGACTTGGGTCGCCAGGGAGAAGTAGACGTCGAGCGATTGGCCCGAGATCAGCCTGAGTTGGGGCCACACGATGTTGTTTCGTACCGTAAATGCCGAAAACGGTGTGGTTATTACCGATTCGAGAAAGAATTGACTTCACCTCTCGGGTTGACGCAGCCCCATGGGGGCTTCGTACGAGGTTCTTGTGGGGCAAACGAGGAGAAGCTTTTGTGATCAACGGACAAGGATACTATAGCACATGGCTTCTTCATCAAACATCCATTAGGTTGGTCTCTTTGCAAAACCATCAGTAGAGACTAGAACTTCAACCTGCTCTTCTCCTGATCAGACTTCGAAAGACCGCTGACAGAGTTCCGCAGAGATGCCATACCTAGGTATGCAAGGCAATACCTTGCTGGCAGCAATTACTTGCACGTCTGGCATGGGCTTCATACTATTCGGTAAGTTACACCAGAATCTGCAGCGATCGCCGCTGACAATCATTCAGGCTACGATGATGGGGTGATGGGTGGCGTTCTCACAGCGCCATCATTTGAGAGTCAATTCAACATGGGCTCGACGATGCAAGGCACTGTTACCTCAATTTTCCTGGTCGGTGCCTTCTTCGGATGTATGGCCTCAGCTCTCCTGAATGGAAAATGGGGAAGAAAGACAGTGTCGCACGCTGGATCTCTTGTGCTTAGCCTAGGTGCTGTGCTTCAGTCATCGAGCTACAGTGTAGCGCAGCTTCTAGTCGGCAGGATTGTCGCAGGTGTGGGCTTGGGTGTAAGTGTGCCTTCCTTCTGCGCCACTCAAGACTGATATGCTCGCAGCTGATTGTCTCCAATATCATAATGTGGCAGACCGAGCTCAGTCCAGGCCATCTCCGCGGTCTTCTTGTTGCATCAGCTCTCAGCTTTCTCATTCTCGGACAACTAATTGCATACTGGCTGGAGTATGGAATTAGCGACGTACCTAGCAGCTTTTCATGGCGCTTTCCAATGGCTTTCCAGGCTGCCTTGGGTATCGCTACCAGCGTGATGCTACTTTTCGTTCCCGAGAGCCCACGATATCTGTATCAAAAAGAGCTTCATCATGAAGCAAAGGAGGTCTTGACTCTATTGAACACTCACCGCGATGGCGTCAATGAAGAGGCATTACGACATACCATCACAGAGATCACGGAAGCCATTGCGATTGAGTTAAGTCAAGCTACCTGGAGCGATCTGCTGAAGGATGACAATGTTCGGTCCCGGCGGCGAGTAGCTCTTGCTTGCATTTTAAATGCTTGTCAAGCTTGGTCTGGTAGCACACCGATTAGCTATTACACCACTTACATCTTCGAAAACTCAGTCGGCTTGTCGTACCACACATCACTTCTATTGTCTGGTATCCTGCAAGTCTGGTTTCTGGTAGCTTCTTTCGGCACTTGGTATACCATCGAAAAGCTTGGACGTCGCATCTCCTTTATGGTCACGGCTGTTGGAATGACATGCTGTATGGCCGTGCTTGCCGCAATGATTGCTATCGACACCAAGAAGTCTGGAATCGCTGGATCTGCTATGATCTTCCTTTACCAAGCATTTTACACATGGGGTTTTATGGGCGGTAGGGCCGACTCTCCTCTGGAAGCTCGCTCGAAATTGCTGATGATTACCAGGAATCTGGGTCTACGGTCCAGAGATCATGCCGTTGACACATCGTGCGAAAGGCGAAGGTCTGGCGACAGCTGTAAGTCCTGACTCTACAGTATCGACCCATGCACTGATTGTATGTCTCCATCGTAGTCTCTCTGGCTAAGCGCATTCGTCGTGACCAAAATCGTCCCAACAGCCATCACAAATATCGGCTGGCGCGTCTACATCATCTTCGCCTGCTTCAATCTTGCCTTTGTTCCATTCGTGTACTTCTTCCTCCCCGAGACTGCCGGTCTGACATTGGAGTCAATCGACCTCTGCTTCATGGACCGATCTACTTCGCCTGTGAAGAAGGCGAACGAGATGAGGAAGCAGTTGCGGAGCGGTGTGGCTGCCGTACTTGAACATGGAATTGAGGCAGGGAAAGAGAAAGAGAAGGAGAAGGATGTTGTGCATGTGGAGTGTTCTGCGAAAGACTAAGCGATACGATTCCAGAGGACTATTTCTACACTCTTTGCTTGGTTCCCGACTCCGCCATCAGTTCTCGAGCGCAAATCAGCCGCATGTGGTCCGTACAAGAAGAATATCGTCGAGTTGGCCAAAACGACTACGAGGAGGACGCGTCTCTGCAACCACGACCTCGGCTTTCTGGACGCCTCGCTCCTTTCACGGACCGCTATATAGTACGCAGACTCCGACAGTAGGAGGCGGTACAAACTTCTTCACAATACAGTAACAGAATCTCTGGTTTGGATTCAATGCTAGTGCATCTAGAATCGCCCTAGTCAACCTAATGCGGCGATATAGGAAGTCACGCCATGTGTTTTGACACCGTCTACGGCGCGCTTGAATCTCGTAAGTATGATTCCTGCTGGGTTTACGTGGCTCTTTTATTGCTCGATTTGCAGAACAGAACCTTGCACTGTTCGCTGTAGTGAGGGATAGTCCGCCTGGGACATGCACTGGAAGTCCTCGACACGTTACGAGGCCTTGAACACAGCAGCAAGTCGTTCAACATAGCTTACACCGACACCACAACATCCACCGATGATACAGGCACCATTCTTAACCCAAGCCTGCGCGTCCATCGCATACGCATCCGCATCAAGGCTAGCATCCAGAGCAGAAATGTCCCCGTTGGCAGCAGATTCGGTGGCGCGCGGGACGAAAGTGTTCGCGTAGATTCCCAGAGACAGCGTACTGGAAGAATGATGCAGATGCAGCGAAATCCGGCCTACAGCAGTTGTAAAGCAAGCGAGGAGAGGAGAGATGGGCAGATGCGGAGTCGTCAGGACAGAAAGAAATCCACAAAGGCTTGCCGAGAGATGCGATTGCGGATCTCACAGATTCAGCCTCGTTGATCACACTAAGCGTCTCTCCCAACCAAATGTCCACGTATGGACAAAGCGCCTGGACCAGGATGTCAAGGTACTCGTGTACACTCCGATCATCGAACATGTCGGGTTCGTATGAACCGAAGATGGGCGGCAGATTTCCAGCGACACGAATTTCCCGCCCAGATTCTTTGGCAACCTCCTCTGCTGCTTCGCGTGCTGGCAGGCCGCCAGCTCTGTGCCACGCTTGCGGAAGCGTTCGTCGACAAGATGGAATGGGACCAATGCGTATGAATTAGTGGTGATGACATCGGCGCCAGCGCGTGCAAACTCCAGATGTCAATGAGCGCAAGAGCAGACCTTTCTGGTTGATGGAATGGTGCACCGAGACGAATGAGCTCTCTCGACATGCCGCCATCGAGGATGGTAACATGATTGGGGAGTAGACATTGTAGACTCCGAATCCTTGCGAGGAGAACTGTTGCAGGGAATATGACTAAGCGAATAAACCGATGGACGAGTTGATCAAAAAGATCGGAGGTAGGGAAGTGAAATTTGGAGCGATTGTTGTCGGGCATGATGCTGGGAAGATTGCCGTGGAGAGGATACATGCCAGTGCTAGTACGGGACGTTTGGGGAGGGTTGTCAGGCAGAAATTTTCCTTGATGAGGAAGGAGACAAGGTCGTCTTCGTAATTGCATTGTTTCCTTGAGATCAGGGATGGAAATGGATGACGCATCATGAACGATGAAATGAAAGTCGTAAGTCTCGATCGCTATCGTGTAACGTTGGTGATCCGCACAAGAGAAGCTCACGAGAATACCGGATGAAATTCAAGAAATCCTTGATCCTTCCTATACGAGCTTCAACTTGATTGATGAATGTGTCAAGACTTTACAAGAGAGTCTCGTCTCCACAATATCAGGAAAACGGGAGGGCTTGTGCGGCAGTCAGTGCTTCGAACGGGGTATTATACAAATCCAAAGCAAACAGAGAAGAACAAAACTTGGCGACCCAAATCCCATGTTTTCATCTTCCGGAGAAGCAAGAGAGTTTCTTTGCCGGCCGGATGGGATAATGCCATGTTCCTGCTCTTTGCGCCTCAAAATGCGCTCGCTCGCTCGCTCGCTCGCTCTGATATAGACGTGAAACTCGTATCTGCCTGCTATTGCCTGAAAACAAAACAAAAATTGTGTGTTATGGTCGTGAGTGGACGTGGTCTTCTTCAAAGACGGCCGTCGGTTGTGCGCCGCCCATTCGCTCGCACGGTATAAGGACAATTTGTGAATGGCACTAATGATACAAGAACGCATATTGCTGCGTGAGGCCGTGTTTGTCGTGATTGTTGTGCTGTGACGTATGTCGGTGTCGATGTACATGAAGGAGATGATGACGGACGTGCTTTTCCTAGAAGCAATTGAGCCCGCTCTTCTTCTTTTTCTTGTTCGCGTTGAGTTCGGCCATGCGCTGTTCCAGCGCTTGACGGGCACGTTCGGCGCGTACACGCATTTCGCGTTCTTCTTCGACAGCCTGCAGACTGGCTCGAGAGTTACTGCGCTCCTTACGCAAGCTGACCAGCTCGTCTTCCAGGCTTTGGCACTTCTTCCGCCAGTTCTCCATTTCTGACTTGGTTCGATTGGCGGAGGTCTCGAGGTCGACCAGGGCCTCCTCAAGGGTGGCTGTGAGCTGCTTCTCCGCAAAGAGATGCTTCTCGATGGTCCTAATGCGAGCCTCTTGGTCTTCAATGAGCTGCGAGACGGCCGGACTTGGGCTGACCTCGTGCGAAGCGTGGCGCGAGGTAGGTGGCGACGTTGTTGGAACAGGTGACGTTCCACGCGGTGTGGGCGATGTCGTGCGATCCAAAGCACTCTGAGGCGGCGTGCCAGTGACCGGAGAGCCAGGAAGTGGTGGGAGGGGAATAGACGGCGGAGGTGTAGGAAGTGCTGTCGGTCCAGATTTGCGGGCATTTGAAGATGATGAGGAGTTTCGGCCAAGTGCAGTGGTCGCGGCTTCTGGCGATAGCGAGTCGCGGTTGTAGTGCGACGAGGTGTTCGAGTTCAGAGACAAGTGCTTGAAAGCATTGATTTGTTGCTGCCCATGGTTAGCTCGGTTCGTCGTCAAATCCTGGTTGCTGCTCACCTCAAGCTGCGAATTGCGCGCCTTGGCCTCCTCAAGCTCCTTCTCAAGTTCAGCACGAGATGGGGCCTCAGACTCCATGCTAATCGCTAGTTGCTGATCGTAAGAGTTGCTCAGTTGCTCCTCGAGCTGTTCGACAAGTGCAGCGCTCTTCTGGTACTTGTCTGTCATTTGCGCCAGCTTGGCTTCCGTCTCCTCGGTGTGAGTCTTGAGCTCGTTGATTTCGTTCTCCATCTCCACTGATCGGTTGATGGCATTCTGCAGCTCCTCTTGCACGGCCTTGAGCTCATTCGTGGTCTTGAGATGTCTTCCATGCAGCTCCTTTCCTTCTTCGACCAAGCCCGAGATCTGGTGGTGCAGACTACCCTTGTCGGTCTCGTATCCAAGCGCAGAAGAAGCGCTCTTGAGCAAGGTCGCGATCTCGCCATTGGCAGATGACAATTGTTGCTCGTAATCGGCGACAGTCTGCTCGTGCTTCTTTTGGAGCTCGGTATATCTCGTGGTGTACTCTTCGATCTCCTTGGTGTGGGAAGCTTGCAACTGCTCCAAGCTCTCTTGATGGAGCTGAATTGTAGATCGATGCACCTCAAGCTGATTCTCGAGGTTCGCGAGTGCCTGGCGATGAAGCTCCTTCGTGCTCCCGCGTTTCTGTTCATCCTCGGCCACTTGCTGGAGGACATCCGCATATTGCTGCTGCAGGGTCTCAAGCCTCGTCATACGTTGCTCTGCAACATGCTTGTGCTCTTGGACTTGAGCATTGAGGATCTCGATGATCTCTCGGTGCTTGGCTCTCTCCATCTCAAGCAGGTCGTCGTCTTCACGATCGACATCGGCGGATGGTTCTTTGGCAGCCATACCTGTCTGAGCTTGATACAGTGAGGCTTGAAGCTCAGCAATGGTGTTGACCAGGTTCTGCTGGGATCCTGACAGGGAATCCATGGCCTCACGATGCTTGTTTTCCCAAGCGCTGACCTCCTTTTGCAGACGGTTCACCTCCTCGTGGTGTGCAGAGCGCTGGGCCGTCAATGCTGCCTCCTGCTCAGCCTTTTCGACTACAGCTGGGGTCTCGGGGAACTCGCCAGGCATTTGCGATGTTGCTTGATCGTCGCTTGGTGTCGGCAACGAGTCCGCGCCGTAGGCCTTGTGATGTTCGGCAAGCGCCTCCTTGAGACTTTCAATCTGCTCCTGAAGCTCCCTCTCGCGCTCGGCATGCTGCTCGTGAAGCATACGAATCTGGTTCTCGCTCTCCATGAGCTGATCTCGCATCTGTCCGACAAGGGAGAAGTCTACACCGCCTGCGCTAGCAGCAGCCATGCTAGATCGTTCACGAGTCAGTCCTGCAATGATCGTCTGCTTCTGCTCCATGTCCTTCCTAAGTGACGCGAGCTCGCTCTCGAGAGCTTGCACTCTTTCGGAGCGTAGGTTGAGCTCTGTCATGACCGTGCTGAGATGCTGCTCAAAGTTATGACGAACATCAGCCTGCTCCTCAAAGTTATTGAGAACCATGGTTCGAAGGGAAATGTAGGATCTAGATGAGCGATCCGATGAGCTGCCCAAAAGCTCGTCCGACTTTCGTCGCCAAGTGCCCTTTGGCAAGCCGGATGGCAGGTTTGGTGATGACGGGAAAGCTGGAGAAGCTGCTCGTTGCACCTGTTGCAATTCTTGTTTGAGCTCTTCGACCTGACTTAGGGTTGCTTCGTGGCGTTGCGCGAGACTCATGTAGTTCTTGGTGAGCTCTGTAACCGACACCGCTTTCTCTGCGTGAAGCTTCTTCAGGGTTTCCATTTCTTGCAGCACCTCTTCGTGCGATGCTGCTGAGATGGGTGAGTGTGCCGCGCTGGCATCGTTTCGCGCAGCAATCTCGTCAATTGCTGGACTCATCGGTGCGCTCTCTCCTTCGGCGCCACCACTCTGTTGCTGCAGCGAGGACAACTCCGCCAACGAGGAACGCGAGGATGAAAGCGGTCCGTCTGTAGCCGCCTTTTCTTCTTCGTCTTTCGTCCCCGCTTCCACTAAAAAAGAGCTTCGGCTGCTCGCCACAGGGGTGTCTGCAGAGCGTGGTGTTGGCATGCTCTTCTCGAACTCCCGCTGCTCGATTTTGGCCAAAGTCTGCAGAGCAGTCTGGTACTTCTGCTGAAGGTTGTCATAATCGCTGAGCACAGTCTCATGCTCGGAGCGGAGGTCGAAGAACTCCTGCGTGAGATTCTCGAGCTTGTTGGCCATGAATTCATTCTGGGCGGGACTGCGTTGAACACCTGTGCCATTTGCCTCTGTCGGCTCTGCGGATTCTGCACGCTCCACCTTCTCAAAGCCCTCGTCGGATGCGGTTGACTCTCGAAATGGATCGTACTGGTCGTCATCGGCGTGGCCATTGGGCTTCGCAGCTGGTGAGGGCGTTCGTGATGCGGAGTGTCCATTTGTCTGGTGCTGATCACCACCACGAATCGCATCGAGTTCGCCGAGCAGGTTATCAAGTCTGCCGATGCTTCTCTGCCGCTCCACAACGTGCTCGAGACGCTCGATCTCACGCTGCATGATCTCTTGATCCTGCTCGGCTTCTGCCAAACGCTCCTCCAAGGTCGAAATGTAATCCTCAGCATTCGACTCGCTATCCCGAACACGTTGAATTTCCCTTCGTAGCTCATCAATCATGGTCTCTTTACGTTCTTCTTCCGTGGTGGCGCCTTCCATCTTACTTTCCAAATCGCGGGTATAAGAGTCGTTATTCGCTTCTCGTTCCATGTACTTCGAGATCCGCGCCTGGAGTTGCTTCTGAATAGTATCCAGGTATGCAATTTTCGTCTCCTTTTCCATGAGCGTGCTTTCTGTACTTGCAAGTGAGGATCTTGTCTGCGAAAGCGAACTTTCCAGAGTCTGGATCGTCTTCTCGTACTCCAACACCACCTGTTCCACAGCTTCTGCGAATGAGTTTGACCGCTTGATCCGATCACTCGCGTTCTCACCAATTGCCTCGTTAAGCAACGGGGTCTCCGCATCTTCGCTGTCCCTGCTCTTTGAAATCTCGGCGATCAATTTGGCGTGGCGCTGGCTGAGGGCATTATAGTTCTCCTGCATGTCCATCAGTTGGGACTGGAGCTCATACTCGCGTCCGCGGCCCCTGTTGTCACGCGCATCCTTGCCCATCATGTCTCTTGCAGCACCGGTATCAGTGTGGCGGATTTGATCGCGAAGGAAGCTGACTTCCGCACGTAGTCGATCGATCGCGGCTTGCTTGTCGCTGTCCTCGTGGGTCTGTTGTATTTCGGGCCGACTCTGGATTGCACGCGCGCGCTGTGCGTAGGTGACGGTGTTCAGAGTCTCGCTCAGGTGAAATACTGCCGGGGTTACACATGCTACCATGAACGTTATGGCATTGCCACCAAGCGAGTCTTGCAGCAGGCGAGTAAGTCGAGAGTCACGATAGGAAATGTGGCCATTCCCGTGCTTGGACAGCTGTGAGATGACCTTGCCAAGGCTGGCAAGTCCAGCATTGATCGAAATACCTTCTTTGGCTCGATCTCCCGTGGCTCCGGTATTCTTCAAACGTTCGCTACCAGCCAGATCGACGAAGTGGAGCTTACTGTCGAGCGTCATCACGCTCTCGGCGCCCGTCACATGTTCGATTGGCATGGACATGCGCTTCTCCGCCTTGCCAGTGGTGGTGGCATGCGCGTCGGTCTTCTTCTGCACGAGGTTCAGACTGAACACTGCGTGTGAGCGCGATGAACGTGCGTTAATGGCAGTGGCGTCGGTTTGTCGGATCGCGGAGCCGAAATTGAGGGCATTGAGCACATCTTCCACCGAGGTGATCGGTACCTGGGTCAGTCCCGTAAGCATAATACGGCCTTTGGTGTCTTCACGAATGGCCACCTGGGCGCGGTCTGCGGGGGGCACATTTTCGGATATTAGCAGATCGCGGAGCTGTTCATTGTAGATTTCCACGTAGGTGGCCTTGAGCTCCCAGTTCTTCGTCGTCGTCGTGGCGCCGTATTTCTGGATTGCGTTGTAGGCCGGCAATGCTTGGGTGGAATATCGTTTGGGTGTCTGAAGGCCGCTGGGTTTGGCGGAGGTACCATTGAGCTTGTCAAACAGGGCCTGAGCAGCTCGCGGCACGATGCCTCTCACGTCTGCGTCGCTCTGGTCTTCGGGGCCCGACGTGCCCATGGTGTAGGACTTGCCTGCGCCCGACTGCCCATATGCCAAGATGGAGACATTGTAGCCCTTTACGAAGGAAGTCACGCTGTCGCTCACGTACTCCCACACGCCGTCCTGCGTGGTGTGCTCGTCAAAGACGCGGTCGAAGACGAAGAGCTTCTTGCCCTGCGGTGACTGCACGGAAAGAGAGGTCGGCGTGGGTACCTCACAGGTGCTCTCGCGAAAGCGCTGGGGGATCAAGTCGAAGCCGGGGTCAGTGGGGTGGAGCGGCGGTCGTACTCGCACAGCTGCGCGTGGCACGTTAGCATTTGCACGTGTGCCATGTTTGGTTCTTTGTATACTGATGGCTACTTACCCACTTTGACGGCAGTGCGGGCGCCATCGTCGTCGCTGGTTCGGGAATGGGCTTCCGTCATGCGCGAGGTGCTGCGGTTGTGCGTCGGCCGCATAATGGCGGTGCTCGGTCGACTGCCAGTGCCAGTGCCAGTGCGGGTGCCAGTGCCAGTGCCAGTGCCAGTGCCGTTGCTCGTCGCATGGAGCGGGGAGGTAGGAATAGTGGTGGGCGGCGTGGGCCAGGCGGAGGGAATCGTCGTCACCGCCGCGGTCGATGTCGATGCAGCTCCAGGAAGGGCACTCGCAGTCGCCGCAGCAGCATTGTGAGGAGCGTCGGCGGACATGGACAGGGCCATGATTACTTTGCTGGATTCTATGCAGGGGCTCGCTTCACTCACGCGAGACCAGGATAGTAGTGCCAAGTAGCCAAGTAGCAGGCCGAATTGTCGACCGGCAGCGACGCGATCCCAGTATGCCGCTGGATTAATCGGCGGGGATGTCAATGTCACGGTGACACGGTCGCGGCCAGGTCACCACCACCACTGCACTGCACTGCACTGCACTGCCACTGCACTGCGCTGCACGTTTGTTGCTATTTGCAAGTGCGGGCTACTGCTTCGATGGCAGCATAAGAATGGCCATCGGCGAGCTTGACGAGCGGGCTGACGCTGGCTGAATGTCGATGTCGGACAGGCGAAGTGCTACTATTATCGGACTGAGCTGCGGGTGCACTGCCCAGTGCTGTTGGTATATTCGATCGATGGCCGGCCAGACACGAGTGTAGGGCGGACGGCGGACGGTGGAGGGTAGGGTGTAGTTGCACACAGACGACAGACGGCGACGATGGACACAGGCGGAGAAGAGTCAATCGCACATATGGATGCAAACGAAACGCACGCACGCACGCACGCACACGGCTGCAAGCCTCACCTTCATCGATCACTCACTACTTCACTTTGCGCATCTCAGGGAGTCAGGGGAACGTTCGTTCGTCGCCGTCGCCGTCGCCGCCGCCCGAAAAGCCGGGCTGCATCTGCCATGTGCATTGTTTGATTTCTATTCTGGCTTCCTTCCAATACATATGTGCCACTGCAATGATTCCGAACACTGCTATTCCTGCCAGTACAGCACCGCTGACGAGAACTTCTCAAGCCCGTCTGCACAAACACAAACCGTGCAGTCCCTACGATCTTGTCCTCGGCTCCCTTGTTCGCTACCAGCAAACCTTGAAATCGTTCACTCGCCCGATACTGAGTAGTAGCCCGTCTACCCGCAGCCCAGCGCAAAGTCAGTCCTCGACTTGAAACACCCCCCGACACGAAAATTCCAAACACCCTCTTGGAACTTTGCAGACGTCGAATTCGCAATCGAATCATAACTATCGTGATTCGCTGCTACAGTGTACATTATTGGTACGGAGGCGCTTCCTGCTTTCTGGTTGGACAACCTGCTGTATTCTTGGTGCATCTCACTGCATCTCCGATTTCAGCGAAGTCTGTCCCCAGCCACTACTAGAATAGCTCCACAGCACATCTTGATCACCTCGGCGTCGATCATGACCTTTCCACATTGGGAATGTACATTCATCCTTCAGCCTTCAGCGAACTACTCCTTCCACCACTTTTTTCTCTCTTCTCCAGCTCGGCAGATGAGGTCCTGTAGATAACTTAAGAGAACATCACTTCATCTATGTACAACAGGATGACTCGTGGCAACTCCGGACGCAAGATTGCTTCCGCCCCGGGATCTTGGTCTCGCTGCGCAACTCCCATGCACCGAAAGCATGTGCCGTAACTCCACGCCCACTGAACCCAATCTGCTCATTGGGCCAGAAAGGCCGAAAACCTTTGCAATCTGCGCTGCGATGTGGGTGTGACAAGAAAAAAAAAGCCGCCACGTCTGACGACAGCCTTGCGTGATCGACAAGGACGATGATAGTGCAAGATCAAGTTTGAAGAAAGCGCAGATCTTCACATCACCTTCGCACAAGATCGTGTGCCATACGGAAGCAGATGGAGCCGTCGCTGCCCTCCTTGCTGTTTCATCGTGTTCATAGCAATTACCGTGCCGGCCAGGCAATCCATGTGATGCCGGCACGGGTAGAACCTGACGGGTTGCGCAAATCAGCGGACTCGTGGCGATGAGCCTCGCGGTACAGGCCTGAGGCGAGACGAGATGCCTGTCTGTCCAGGTGGCTTCGACAACCACAGCTCGACTTCAGCTGTATACGGTTACTAACTTGCTCTGCATGGAATCAAGCATTCTGCTCCGGATCGACGAGAACGACACGCGCAGGCTTCATGGGAGGCACCATTTCTCCATTATTTCCATTTCCCAAGGCTGCAGCAGTGTGCCTCCGAACATCACGACATGTGGCTTCCATTCTTCGCCCCGTCGCCACTGCTTCTATTTCAGGCTGACGCGCGCAAAGGCTTGCTTCCGACTCGTTCTTAGCAAATCCTCATGATTCAGTGATGAAGGGTCTGTAGCGCACAGCTTTCCACATCCATCATTGTCTCGGAGCTTGCCGCTATATCCTAGTGTACTTGGCGGAGAGATGTTGCAAGAACAAAGGTAGAAGGTGGGAGGCAGAAGGTGGAAGGTAGAAGGTGGAAGGTGGGAGGCAGAAGGTGGAAGGTAGAAGGTGGAAGGTGGAAGGTAGAAGGTAGAAGGTGGACGGTGGAAGGTGGAAGGTAGAAGGTGAAAGGTGGAAGGTGGAAGGTGGAAGGTGGAAGGTGGAAGGTGGAAGGTGCATCCAAGCCGACAAAGCGGGGCGCCTGAATGGCTTTTAATATCCGTGCGAAGACTAAACAGGCCCTCTTCCGCTGATAGCACTCCAACTCTCCCAGGATCTAGAGAGGCCTAAGTAATCCCTTCGGCAGGTGGGCAACTTCGCCAGCCGGTGTGCAATTGAAAATTTTGGTATTCGTCATAACAGCTCACAGATTAGCTTCCAGCAGTTCAGCCATACCAAGGCCCAACAAGCTGTGCCTACATCCGCAAAGGTCGTCTTGGCTAAGGCGGTAGGCATCAGAACTACTTGGCGCGATTTTCGATATGTCACGCATGGCGGGTGTCATTGCCATCCTAACATGCATTCAGCACAAAGCTCTGAATGACTGGAAAGTGGCCCAAACATCACTTCTGCTTATTGAAGCAGAAGGCATCAGTCAAGCTGAAATGGAATGCGTCGAAAACAACCTACGCCTGACTGACTTTTGACAGATTATTATGTCCACGTGAACATGACGACCGCTGCAGTCATGGGGATATCCAACGCGAAGGCACTAGTAGGACTCCAATGCTCCAGCGGCAACTGCACCTCTCCGGAATCTAAGAGCGTCGGGATCTGTTGTGACTGCAAGGATGAGACGACGACGATTTTGCCACAATTTCAAAAACCAGAAGTGCTTATACTCACCGAGCCCAGAGCTGAACCCGACAGCCTTCTTCAAGAATGAACCCGGTGGCAGGCCTCGCACACCTAGCAACCGACAATGCAGAACTCAATACCACAGTCTGGGCACCAGAAGAAAGCGAGTTCGACCCCAATCTCGGGAAAATCCTGTCTCATGTCCTTCGTCATGTCTCACTTCTAGAACACCAAGGGATGGTAGGTCTCGAGTAGGAAGCTTGCAGGAAACGACGGCAGCATGTCTTAGCTTCATGCATCAAACGGTAGCTTATAGCAAACACTCAGCGACTCAAGAGAAGCCCATTCTTTCCAATCTCGTTCAATTCCAACAACAATACCAATACCAACAACAACAACCAGCAAATCAAGGGCATCAAACCAATCACATAATTCACATCTCAACACAAGCACCAGCCCCAGTCAATCCGATCCCAGGCATCATGATCACCGCATTCATCCTTGCTCCATTCTTGTCCTGGGCAGGCTTTCTCGGAGGACTTCAAGCAGGTAAGCAAGCAATCCCATATTTCAATCCAAGTCAAGACGTGATTAAACATGAAGATAGGCGGTTGGGCAGCTTGGTTCCAAGGATTAGTTTATGGGGGTTTTGTTCCCGCTGGTGGTCTCTTCGCTTGGTTCACTTCTATGGGTGCGAAGTTGGGAGCTTGGTTGTAGTTCTTGTGAGCAAGGTCATTTATCAGACAGGCAATATCGATGAAGATGAACGAAAGATGGAGAAGGATTGCATTTAGGCGAAGCTTGTCGCATTCGTGGACGTGAGGTAGGTATTGCCCTTGATGGCTGAATTCAATGTTGTTCTCATTATCATTATGATGGGTGCGAACTGCGATCACCGAACTCTCGTACGCCATTAGACAGACATCTATCTTTCAGAACGATAGCAAGGACTTCTCGAGAGATACAGAAGGGTATTACAGCTAGTATTCCGTCTCAAGGCTGATTATTACGCCTAGCAATCCGAAGTCGAGGGCTCTAAATAGCGAGAGCTTTACGAAAACGCAGTAGTTAATGTCCTCGCAAACGACATTCTACCCGTACTCTAATCCCTCACTCACCTCGATGAGCATTCACACAGCTCGCATAGTTCTATCCTCAGCCTAGGTTCCATTCCCTAACAAGATCGAAGAAGAATCGTCGAGACTGCAACTTGTCCTAAGAAAGACCTGCATCAGACATAAATTTCCTTCGTAGCCGCTTCTTCAATTCGTCCAGCTTTTCCGAAACTTCCCCAAACGTGAAGCCAAGAGGCGAAACAGACGAGAGAGGACCCAGCTTACCTTATTGTCTATACCATCCTCCTCGCCTTCGTCCACGGTAGGTAACACAACACCACGGAACCTCACAAACCATCTCAACGTCAAACCTAATAAGCTGCTAACGACCAACATCGCCTGAACCCGTGACCCAAATTTCGTTGCTCCACGGTCCCAGTGTTCGATTTTGAGCTTACTGTAATAATGCCCTTCTTACTCGTCCCATTGAGATCGTCAGAAAATCCCCAGCCCTCAAATCCATCGTCATCTCCCGTTGACGGCTGGAACCGTTCCAAGAATGCCGAATAGTAGGACTTACATGTATTGCCCTTCTCGCACGGAATAAGTCCTAGCAATCGCTTCAACCTAACTGAGCCAAGCAACGTGTCGCTGAACTGCCATAACTCTCGGCTTTTGAGGCGTGGGCAGATACCTATCGAGAAGCAGTCGATGATGAACAAGGGATTTGACGGTGTTCCAGCGTGCTGACGGTTAAGGGCCTAGTATCAATGTGCCGCATCGCCACGCTCAAGCTCTTGTTGATGGCGTCTTGATCCTCTTGCAGCAGCTGGATGTCCAGTTGGTCCATTGTGTAGAATCTCATCGGCCGCATGACTTGAAATTGTGGTGCTACGCTTTTGTGTTGAAGCGATATGGAGTTTTGTTGGTCCGTGCTTGAAGTCGGCTTCGAAGTGAAGTATTTCGAGCTCTCAGATAAATATTCGAGGAAAAACAGTCCGTGTCTTCACAGACATGCAGTAGTATTGGAATACGCTATCAACGTCGTTAGCAAATAAATAGCCGATTCGCTATGCAAGTGGTATATCGCAGCAACACCTGCTCCCTCTGAGAAGCGAAATCGCGCCAACAAAATGCGCGCTGAACGCTCGCTGCAGAATAATGCAAAGAGAATCGAAGTGAAAAATGAAACACATTAGTCATATCACATGCCCTGCCCTTGCCGTCCCATGCCATCCTCCTTTTCATCTGATTTTGAACCATACCGTCTGACTGTTGAGTCTTCCTTGACTTCTCAGCGTCCGAACATGGTAACCATCCATAAGGTCCTCAACGAAAGCATCGCCCACGAAATAATAAAAATGATTGTTAGGCCTGAGCACAAAAGGCACACTGCCTCCAAAGAGCACGACAAGCGCATCTCCTTCCTTCACATTGTCCGTGCACAGACAAACGTACCCTCTTTCGGTGATGCAGATCGTACGATGATGACCACCTTTCATCATGGCGTCCATAGCATACGTTGCATCAGGATTCTCGGTCTCTAATAATAGATTTTCGGAAGAGCCTAGTGAGCGCATACTGTGCAGAGAGTGAGTGGTGGAACGAGAGGAGATTGAAGTGGTGGATTTCGAGGATCTGAGGGACTCTGTATCGCTGACGTCTGCAGCTGGATCAGGATCTGGTGCCGTGGCGGTATGGAGGAATCCTTCATGAAGGCGTTGCGCATGCTCTGTGCTCTCGAGCAGATTGCGACCAGTAGAATCTTGGCCGGCTGCAACTGTGATTGCGAATTTGCGAGACAAGACATTGGTCGGCCAGGCTGGGAGTTGATTGCAAGTCCAGGAGTATGTGCTGTACAAGACTGCTGCAGCAGTGATCGTGTCTGAGAAGCGTTCTCCATACAGTTTCCACGACATGACGGGTGAGATGTCGGTGATTCGGTCGATCAAGATCCCTTCGACTTTGAGGACACGGCTGGAATCATTGGGCCAGATCTTGAGAGGCATATCATCGTGCGCATTGAATCGAAAGTTGCGGTATGATATGGGATTAATGTGGTAGCCACCACGAAGGTCCATGCGAAGCGCCCAGGAGGGAAACTCGCCATTCTCAGCTTTTGATTGAGGCACAGGTCGCAGACTGTGGGCATGCTTGAGTAAACCCAAACTTTCCAGTTCAATGATAGCAGCTTTCGTAGCTTTGGCGTAGGTCTCAACGACAGGTTCCTCGTATATTGGGACGATTCGTGAAGTAGAGCCCGGCTTCTGTGCAGTCCTGCTCCTCAATCCAAGCACAGCATAAACCATATCGCGGGGATCGTGGGTCTCAAAGCTGTATACAAGACGAAGAAGCGTGCCGAGCTTTTGAGACTTGCGAAGCTTGAACATACCAATCAATGCTACATTCTCCAGCCCAGTGATGCAGCCTTTGCTCGGGATTCGTGGTAGTCTTTGCCGTCGCTCATACAGCCAAACAGCGACACTAGATAGCTCGGTCCAGTCCAAGGCATGCCTGCCAATGTAAACAACCGGCTGCTTGGCTAGCGCAACTTCCTGGATGATCCAAGCCCGCGTGAACCACTTTCTCGAAAATAAGGAGTAGATAGAGTTCCAGCTGATTTGCTTTGAAGCGAAGCGTTGGGCGTTTGGATTCATTACTAGGTCCTTCGCAGAACCAGAGTCCGGAGTCTGATACTGTGCAGGTAACTTCTGCTCGATACCCTCAAGCAGCTTGCGTATCGATCGTATTGCAGGATCGGTATCGCCACGATCCTCTCCGAGCCAGATCAAAACACGTCGTGCTTTAGAATAGATTTCTCCCATCATGGCAACCTGGAGGCTTTTCTCGCGAGCTTCTTCTTGATCGATGCATACAGCATCAAGCCAGAGCCTGGGATGACCATGCTCCAAACAGACTGCGCGCAGAGCCTGCTCTGCTTTGGTTGGAATCCAGAAAGGCAGCCCATCGAGAACGACCTGCGTGCGATCTTCCTTGTCACCGCCCCAGCTGTAGGATACGGCATCGTAGAAAGGCACGACGTGGTCCGTCAGTCGTATGTGTTCCAGTCGGAACGCGAGCGAACCTTGAGTGTGGCCATTCGAGCATGTTTGCCCAGCAAGAGATAATGGTCGTGTGTCTTGCTGCCCACCATCAACCACCAAGACCCTGATTTCTTTGCGTTCGGGGTTCAGCGGTCTATACAAAAGCTGCCGCACTCGATCTCTGCTGGTCATCGTAGTTTAATCGCTACAACGACTACTGGAAAGCTCAAAGGTTTGGCATAAGTAACAACGTGATAATTGTGACATGTGCTTGTTGGCTGTAACTATGTATCGCAGGAGCTCAAGAATCGAAGGAGTGGCGGGCGCCAGAGTAGACGACACTGCAGTGCTTGCAGGATTCTGGTGCTTGCAGGGTGCTGGAGGAGGGTGGCCTGAAGGAGCTGTCTTCGGAACGAGGGAGCTGCGTGGAGGCCGGCACGGCGAGGTCCAGCCCGGAAGTTTCATCTCGCTTTACTGGTTGACAGGCGCCCGAACGGAGCGACGGTCACATCACATGCTTCGCGGCGCGTATATGAATCTTGTTGGTTGATTCTGCCAATGTGCAACATTCGGACAAGGCACATCGTCTTGTCGACGCAGGAGTTGTTCCTGAGGGTTTCCAGGCTGCTGGCGTCGAGCGGCAGGCCAAGGCGAGGCGCCCAGGAGTCTCCATGCGCAATTCTGGCACTTTCAGCGCCCATGTGCTCGAACAGGGCTTTTTTGGGCGATAGAAGAATCAAGTGAAGTATGCTTAAAAGCAGACCTGCAATCAAATCATGCGTTAGGGTGCTGCGCCGCGCTTAGACTGCCCCACGCAGTGAAGTGAACCTGGAGAATCGGGCGGCAGTGATGACTATTATGCACAGGTAGGCATTGCAAGACGAGCAAAACTCATGAGTAGCGCTCAACATGATGCGACAGCTCAGTCATTGGCAACCACTATGCGCCGAAGTCATGCTTGCACCAGCACCCGTCCCAATTGAATCTCAGGCACTCACTGCCCCAACTCCACCAGCCAGCGACCAGATGCCGTGCGAAGACTTCTAACGCTCTATAGTTCTCGAGATCGGTCATGAATGGCTCTATCAGCTGCTTTAGACATGGCTTCCGCGAATGCAAGTCTGGCACGCTGATAAGGACTCTTCGTTCGCATAGCTGGTTAGAAAGGGTCACTGTCGCATGGTCTACCATGCCACGCCGCTGCTTTCGTCCGAGGAGCAGGACCTCGTATGGTTTGCGCCAAACCGACTCCAGCGGTGTAATGGGTTCGCCAGAAATGGACGTCTTTAGCCAGAGCCACTCCTCTTCAAGTTTGATACCCCAGGTCGCAAATAGGCCATACTCTTCATTGAGGACCAGATCACGAATGGAGGCCTTGTTCGTGATCCATATGCCCACCAGGCAGTCATCCGCCATCAGCATATCGAGGTCCATGCTCGCTAGTAGATTACATACCTCATCGAGAGTTGAACAGGTGCGGTAAGTAGTGCCAGGAGTCTTTCGGGAACGCTTGACAGACCGATTGGGCCAGGGTGGATCGAGCAAGATGAAGTCGAAATGCCTTCGAGTATCATTCTCATGGGCTTGATTTCGGAGCTCATTGTGAAAGAGTCTGGCTTCCGAGCAGTCTCCCAGGAACGCTGTCGAGCCTGGGGGGATCCGAAAATTGCGCGTGTCGTCGTCCAAGGTAATCTCCAGTTCAGCTGGCGAAGGAGAAGTCCAGCAAAATGCACGCTCCCCATGGCGGTGACTGACTACCTGCGTGCAAAGTCCAGACTCAGCGCACACACGAGAAGCAAAATTGCCAGCTTTCAGATTCGTGATGCTTGCCAGGAAAGCAGGAAGCAGATGGGCATTCGCGGAATTGGCAAGGACTGCATTATTGGAGACAACAGAATCACCAACTCCGCTGCTGAGTTTGCGCTTCTTCGTAGGTCTAGAATGGTCGTTATCGTGTACAAAGGGCCTTGGATGGCACCAGGCGTGCTTGTGGTGCTCACGAACTTGCATTAACGCGTGATGGAGAAGGTGTTGGTACTCTGCATGCAGGGTCTCATCAACAGTGTTACCACACAGCTTCGCCCTCGCTTTCTCCGAGCCTGGCTCATGCGTCCCGAATGGCGTCTCCGGCGGCTGAGATGAGCGTAGGATGCGTGTGAAGGGGTATGCAGAATCTCCCTGAGCGGCGGAGATTGAGCGTGGGAGGTCCAAAACCGTCACGTCCTGCTCATTGTTCTGCCAGATGATGGCGGAGGCGGAGGCAGAGGCAGACACAGACACAGAGCCCATGGTTCGCGATCCATTGTGAGGCTCCAGTCGTCTTTGTGATCTAGAGAAGAGTATGGTCGTGACTGTGACTAGTTATGCCTCGTGCCTTGTGGGGAGTGGCCAATATTTTGGAAAATCCTTTGGTCCCGATGCTGGCCGTTGGCCCTCGGCTGCGCATCATCCTGCGTCCAACATTATTGCCGACAACCAAGAAACTCTTCTTTGTCTCTGCTGTACCAAAACACACTCTTCAGTGCACACTTTGAGTTGCATTCACCGTATACTGGCAAACGATCTGTCCGACGCTTCTCGCTCTCCACACTCTGCATCCGACGGTCGACACGACCCGAACATCTACAATCACAAGCCGGGAATAGCCAGTTCTCTCCCGATGTCGCATATCAGCCATTAGGAGCGAGAGCAGAAGGCGCACGCACGCGACCACACACAATCCATGAGCAGCTTTGCCTCTGGGCATGGCAGCCATGTCACGACCGACAGCCCTTCGACCCACGAACCACATGAGATGACGCCCGACTCACGCTCCGCCAGCGCTGGCAATCAGCCGGCAATATGTCCGACCGATCATGGCTACATACATCCGCAGCCCGATCAGAAGCGGCCGAGGATCCCACAGCAGAGCATGGAGTATGCTGTACGTAGTGGCGTTGCAGGCGGATTAGCAGCATGTGCTGCGAAGACCGTAGTCGCTCCCCTCGACCGGGTCAAGATATTGTTTCAGGCGAACAACCCACGGTTCCAGAAGTACACTGGATCATGGACGGGAGCTTTGCGAGCAATCAGAGACATCTACGGAGCCAATGGAGTGCCAGGGCTATTCCGCGGCCATAGTGCGACTTTGTTGCGAATCTTTCCGTATGGAGGCATCAAGTTTCTGGCGTACGAGCAAATAAGAGCAGTAGTCATACCCGACAAGCAGTCGGAAACACATGCGAGGAGATTCGCTACAGGAAGTTTGGCAGGCATAGCATCCGTGTTTTGTACGTATCCTCTGGAAGTGATACGCGTGCGGTTGGCGTGGGAAACGAAGTCTAGTAAGCGGGTTACAGTACGCGACATCTGCCGCAAGATATACAGAGAGCTACCACCTGAGCCCGCGAACGGCTCGAATGGAGGAGGCGCGGCAGCGGTAATGCCAAAGACTTTTGCAGCGCCAATCGAAGCCACGCAAGCTGCAGTAAAGCAGCTCACACCTTCAACAGGATTGGCAAACTTCTACCGCGGCTTTACACCCACACTATGGGGCATGATTCCATATGCAGGAGCCTCATTCTTGACCCACGACGCAGCAGGTGACTTTATGCGACAGCCCGAATTGGCACCATATACTGTCTTACCAATGTCAGAACGATCACAAAAACAGCTCGCACCCGGCAAGCCAGCACCGCTGCGAGCATGGGCCGAGCTTACGACGGGAGCCATAGCAGGCTTCGTCAGTCAAACAGTCAGCTACCCACTCGAAGTCATCCGACGAAGAATGCAGGTGGGAGGTGTGGTTGGTGATGGACATCGCTTACGCATGTCGGAAGTCGCACGGGACATTGCGAAAGAGAGAGGCTTCCGAGGTTTCTTTGTCGGACTCAGCATTGGATACGTCAAGGTCATCCCGATGGCCGCGACAAGTTTCTACGTTTACGAGCGCATGAAGGTCGTCTTTGGAATATGACCGAGGTGCGGAGATTTATGACCTCTTTTTTGTACATACGCATTCTGGTTGGAAGCGATGGCGTTTGTGGTGCATGGGGAGCAATAGGCCTTACGAGAGCCTTAGAGGTAGCAATAGCAGTGCCAGGTAGTAGCAAGTACAGCCGAATGAACCAACTCTTGCGAAGTGACGGACACGCACTTTCATCGACGCACCATTTTCTTATTCCCGTGCCAAGCCCAGCCTGTGTCTAGTCTATATATTCATCCCAAATCTCACGTGATCTCAGCTGTAATGGCCTAGTCGAAATCACTTCGTCTGCATCAACACCCTTTCCATCCAGCGATGTGGCTCTGGTTTGAGTTCTGTGATGGTTCTTCACTCAAGCGAGTAATCCTTGATGCTGAGAGGACCCTAAGTTTGAGGAACTGTTCAGGCTGGAAACAGCGCAAACACCCTCAATTCATGGAGCGGCAGTACCAGGATAGCCGATTGTTGGCGGGTGTGAGTGTGGGATATGGGGTGTGTGACGACTTTTTGCTGTTTTGTGGTTCTGTTGGTTCTTTTTGGGAGGGATGCATGGATAGCTGATGTATCTTTGGTGACATGATGTGATGGTTGCGAGTTCGAATTTTGGTTTGTGATCTAGAAAAGTTTTGACTCGTACGTACTGTATCTTTTGCCAAGATTCTTCACAGCTTGTAGGAGGCCGCGGAAGGAACAACGACCAGCCAGGAAAGAAAAATCACTCAAGGACCTGCTGGACTTTGCGTAATCCAATGCAACAGTGGAAACAGCATGCAATTCGGTCATCATTATTAGTGAGTCTTGCCAAAAAGCATGTGGAAAAATTTCTACCGACTCTTGACCAGATCATTCAACTACCTCAATCATCACTGAGTCCTGACATCGACAAAGCACCGGGAAGTGGAGCACGAAGCACATGAAAAAAAAAAGTAAAAAGTCCACCTTCACATGCTACACCGTAGAGGAATCCCCGAACCCCATTCTCCAGGACCATTTTCGGCCCTTCCCTTCCCTTCCAAACAAGCGGGTCGGGTCTTTCCCAAAATCTCACGCCAGCATATGCCAGACCCACCAAAAACAACCACGCGGCCACGCCCGCCTGATCTCGAAATCGTTTCGGGTGACAGGTTCCTGGTGCCTGACGAGTTGGAGATGGATTTCGCTGTCCGACTGTTGAATACGTGCGAGTCTTGATGTGAGTCTCGAAGATTAAGCAATGGAACGAGACTACTGACGTCACCATGCTTGTCTTGAGCGCCATCGGCCAGACATGTCACATGTTGAATGTGTTGGCTAGTTTTGTTTTCGGCGTCATCTTTCGAGAAGCATTCTTCGTGTGTTCTGGAATTAGAGATCCATGTTCATTCATACAATGGCATGATCTCATTGTCGTCTGGCGGCGGCGGCGGCCCTATTTCGTCGGTCGGTGTGTTATTACATCGCGACCGGTGTTCATACCCAGCTATGTAGATTCGGTGAGCTTAAACCGAGACATCGGATGTGTTCTGACGTTTTTGCAAATCTCGTGGTCGATGGGTTGAGACTTGAGACTGATCCTAGCCATTGAGACGTCATATCGACCAGGTTACTATCTCTTGCATGGGACAAGTCGGCACTGTCTCTTTAGGAAAGCCATGGTTGACAACAACATTCTCGAGATACCACCGATCGTCCGAGGCCCCATGCTCGTCCTCGCCTCGAGCATACTGTACACCAAAAATCTGGTTCCGATATGTTTTCGCGTATTTAGAAAGAGGAGGTACGAGTCTTGTTGCGACTGAGATTTGCCGTGATTGCCAATTTCGCTCGGAAGGAGATCAGGCGAGGTACTAACCGAAATATTCTGTGAGTGGTACCTCCTTGCTCTGGCAAGGAAGAGTCTCAAAGGAGCGAGTCGAGCGCATGTCAAAGCCTCCCTCACACGATGCCGCATGAATAAATTTTTGGTTCACTCTCTGAGGCCACCGGCATTTCCAGGTTGGGCAGTGCAAGCGTGTTGGCCAGTAGTGAATGTTCCGTAGTCATACCGCTACGCTAGAATCGCTACTGCTGTAGGCTCCTTTTGCTCGGACCAGCAGTTTGAAGAAGCAAAGCAGGGTGGCCGTCCAGCGCCCGCCCGACTGCACTTGGCATTCGACATATTGTCCGAAATTCAAGCCATGCGAAGGGGAGGTCAACCGAGGACTACGCAGAGGGTGACAGTCTACTGCAAGTCGTGCCATCCAGAAATCGACGAGCAGATTTCGCGTCACTCGACACAGCGGGTAGGTGTAAGTCTACGTCAGAAATTGATTTCGATCTGTATGCCGGTGCTAGAAGAATACATCCACATGTTGTAGATCGACAGAATCTTTTTGTGATACGCGTCATCATCTCCTTCGGTTGAATTGACGATGGAGGCAAGTCTAATCGCGAGGTCTCGACCAGATACGCAGATTTGCCGGCAACGTTGTGGACGTTTCGAGGCCGGTCCCTCGTCACCTGGAATCTGAAGCGCATCTGGCGTTGATATTGCTTCACGAGGCTACACCGTGATCTCGATGCCCGCCCAGTTCACGTGGAAGACGTCATGTGCGGATGAACGAATCTGGTTTGTGGAACAAGGGGGCCCTTGAGATGATCGGCTCCAAGCCCCGCCCCGCCCCCGCGTGTACCGTGCACCGCGTTACTGCAGAGCAGGCGATTCATTCATTCATTCAGCTAGGGTTGCAGAAAGGATTCGTGGTGCTGTTGCTCAGTTGCCGACACACCACTTTTTAACACCGTCGTCCGGAGGAATGGTAGACGGAGAAACAGGCCCGTTGTTTGCGATGTCTCTGCATCAGCGATGCGGGAATTCAGCACGGTACCAACTCCGAGCATGCAAGCCACGAAAGCGGTTGTTTCGGGAAAGACACGACTTGTTTCGGCTTCTGACTTGTTGGAATCCTCGCTCGCATGAAGTCATCGCCTGGGCGCGGCGCAGAAGCTCGCGCTGTCATCCCGATCTATCAATATTACGGCCGTGTAGTCATCCGCAGTCCCACGGCCATCCGCGTTGCCCAAGAAAGTAATTGTGAAGCAGGCAGGCAGGGAAAGGGGTGCGGCGGAGAGAGCGGTTGACTGCTCATCATCAGCCTTTGTACAACTGATTCTCAGCGTGGAGAAGGAGCGCCCGATACCGATGCCCTTATCCGAGACCATTGGGAAGGCGCGGAGGCGTTTACAGCGAGAAGCCTATTGCGTCCTCGGCAGTGGTCATGAATAAGCAGGCGAATCCAACTTCCACGCAACGCCTCACCAATACACTTTCCTGAACTCGCCGATGCGGCAGGCTCGGTGGGATCGGTATGGCAAATAGCAAACCCATTTGCTGACCACGCCTATACATAGCGACGTGGCATGTCAGCTGTCCAGGTGTGGCATCAGCGACAACAGGATTGTATCGAGGCGTGGGTGAGCAGTGCGCTGGCTGTGGGTGACAGTGCCTTGTCTGAGTGATTTGCAGAGTCGTGGAGCGAGGCGGTGTCTCACCGACCCCGAGAAATACGCAAGTGACATGGCAGAGCTTCGGAAAGCGGGAGTTGCATGAGTCTTGTTGATGCTGCAAATCTGCCCGCGACAGGCCTTTTTCTGCGAGGTACCTCGCTTCTACGTATCTTTCAGGTATTCTTGTATGTGAGGAAATTTAGCGTACTACTGTTTGTAACAGTGGTTTACTTCCGGAGGCCGTTATCTACTAAGTTAGTATCATTTGCCTAGTAATCGACGGTGCTTTTCCTACTCTAGTACTATATTAACCTTCTTAGTTATTCTTTTAGTTCTAATCTTATCTCTATATCTCTTTATTATATATAGATCTAGCTCTTTCTATAATAGTTTAAATAGCACCTTCTACTTGTTATTATTATTACTATACCGCCTATCTTATCTAAACTAGAGCCGCCGTTTAGGCCTAATTATATACTATATAGTATTATCGATATTCGAGAATAGCTATTTACTTAGGTTACTATCGAGATAAATTAGATATAGGAGTAGTTAGAAGAGAAGAAGCCTATAGACTAGTAGAACAAGGTCTAATATATACGCTATAGGTAGAGTAGTAAGACGTTACGGGAATAGGCTACCTAGGTATAGCTCTATAGTCTATTATTACTATAAATAAGGATAACTTTACCTCTCTAGGGTTATTATTATTCTATTAAGTATAACTATAATAAGCGAAATCTCGTATTCTATCCTATATAGCATAATTCTTAAGGTTCTTAAGGTAGATAGTAGGCGAGCTTATAAGGTATAACTAGCTAGCTATAGGGTTAGCAAAGGTATATAATATTAGTACTAAAAGGGCCTTATAAGCTTCGAGTCTCTATAACTACGGGCCGCTTAAGATCGCCTTTAAGAATAGGTAGATATTATAGTTATTACTACTAAACTAGAAGCTAAGATAGCGCCTATATATAAGGGTATACTAAGTAGTTATAACTATATAACTCCGGCTTGCTATAACTACCTCGTATAGTTTTAAGCCCGCCTACCTTACTATTATATTCTACGAGACTATTTGTTTAATAGACTAGAAGTTAGTAAGTTATAATAGCGACGATATAGTAAGCTATTTCTAGGTCTTAACGTTATATTTATATACGAGTACTAGCGCGTTCTCGATACTTAATAACTCGTAATCGAAGGTTACGAAAAACACGCTATTTTCTTAGTATAAATACCTTAATTAGGAGACTTTTAAGGCTACTCTAAGGAGGTATTAGAATCGCTAAATTTAAAGTATAAGCGGATAAAGGACGACCCTTCTATTAACCCTTCTAATATATGCTTGTAGGCGGCTCCGCGTGCCTACAAAGTGCGAGCGAAGCTTCCGCCTTATATACCCTTACAGGTCGCTAGTCGTTGTAGGTCGCTAGTCGTTATAGGTCGCTAGTCGTTGCAGGTCGCTAGTCGTAGTCGTTGCAGGTCGCAGGTCGCTAGTCGTTATAGGTCGCTTGTCGTTGTAGGTCGCTAGTCGTTGTAGGTCGCTAGTCGTAGTCGTTGTAGGTCGCTAGTCGTAGTCGTTGCAGGTCGCTAGTCGTAGTCGTTGCAGGTCGCTAGTCGCTAGTCGTTGCAGGTCGCTAGTCGTTATAGGTCGCTAGTCGTTGCAGGTCGCTAGTCGTTATAGGT